TGCTGCGCACTGGAAGGCGGCCGCGTCCATTTTATTTTCCGTCGTTACCGGCGAGAACAATGATTTCCACCGGGCCTCGATATATAATGCACCGGCTGATTGTTTTTCGCGCGTATTAAGTGGTTCCGTTCCGATTATCGTGTGTGCGCGCGCGCGGACGATTTTCCATTGTTCGCTCGGGCCATTCGTCATTCGCTTTAATTGTTACGCGATATTAGATTCAGACGTGACTTGGGCTCAGCTTGCAGATTCTAGCGCGCACTTGGCAACTTCTGACATTGTTCCTCGCGACGCATAATGCCACGGAGGACTGATTTATGGCGGTCGATGTCGATTGAGTCGATATTAATTCGGCACGCTGACCGCTCGCCTCCAGGTGCACGCGAGAGCCTGGCTCCGACGGCCAATTCAGCGTTGCGCGGGGCGTCGAATCTAATCCGCGCGGCACGTGCGATTTCCCGAGGAGAACCGGCAGTGCCGCACAAATCATCTTTATCAAGCCGCGCGGGAGGCACACTTTGCGCCGGTACACGGCCGCGCGCCGATAAGGGCAGCACCGCGCACGCCGCTCATTCGAATTCAATAAACAGGCTCATGCGAATCGAACGCTCGCTCGCCCATAATCAGATCTAAGGCACCCCTCGGCGACATAAATCAGACGACACAACTGTACGACGCCGTATGCTTCTCTCCTCGCGCGTTACGCGTTTGCCTTTCGAAGATGTTGCCAGGATATTATCCAGCTCATTGTTTATTCATTGCTTTCATTTGGATTTCTTGGGCTATTGGTCAATTGATCTTGCTCTTGATCGTTCGTAAAGCATTACTGAAAACCTGTGCGCTGTCGAACATTGCGTTTCATCAGAATTTCATAAAAATTACGACAGTCTATTTTTCGACGTCTCAGTGCAGTCGGTTTTCTAAAAATCACGCTGCATACTTAAATAACTGTCTTAACTACGTCCATGAAAGTTTGCGATCGCCAATAATCTTTATGAGAAATGCTACTACAAAGCCCTTTAGTAGAAGCACATTTAATCGAACCCAAGGCCAATATCCATAAAAGCGACAACTACATTCGAATTCAATGCCGATGGCGTATAAGAAATGTCCTTGCGAAAGCGAATAAGAAAAAAAGTACGAAGAAGACGACGACAAATTCATAGCTAATTAAAGAAACGCAATAACATAGGTAATAAGCGACGCGAGCCAATAAAGTGGCTAATGAGAGTGCGGGGGTAAGCACCGCAGCTGGGCGTCCATACGGGCATAATAATCAGTAGAAGTGCTTGTTATCGGCGAGTGATTGTCTCGTATCCAAGACATACACCTGCGGCTCTTTTCTCACGCGTCGCAATTAATCGTCTCTAAATTTCCGTTTTAAGTCCTTCTTTCTTGATTTCCAAACGACCGATTAATTAATTTAATGGTAATTATATAAAGGCGGTACGCAGCTTTGAAAGCCGTCATGGCTGTAGGCAGTAAATGTAAGCAGTATAATCTTTTTTATATCGACAGAGGATGGTCGTTTTTATTTTCTTCATTGATAGATTTTTTCCATTCGAAGGAAGCAATAAATGTTACTGGATATCGAGCTCGAATGGATTGCCCCTGCGAAAAGTACATACTTGAATTTTCATTAACTATCGGCTTATACGGCATATAATGAACGCACTGTGAAACGCATATTTCATTAAGCCTGCCGCCACTAACGAGGTGTGCATTATGGACTAATTAATCGTGCTGGTCGACTTGCAAATAGGACTTGGCTTTGTTTCAATACGCTTTAAATGGATTAATGGTCCCGAGAACTTGTATCTATAAAAAGCTAGCATTTCAATAACGATACTTGACCCGTGCGAATCGATGACAAAAAAAAAGCCAATTTACGTATAAAATTCCGACTCGATACACAATCATATTGCAACGCAGTCCCGTAATAAGCCCACAGGAATTCGAAAAAAGTAAGAGAGGCAAGAGCCGCGCCTGATCAACGGCGACCCCGCGTCGACGCGTGTGCCGCTAGTCGACGGCGCAGCGCGCCGCGGAGAGAGGAACAGACCGTCGCGGGAGACGCGCGGCTTATCTACGGCCGCGCATCGCGCGCTACGACCTTTGCTTAAAAGCGCCATCAGGTATACGCGATGGAAAAGCTATGCGCGCCTCCCTCCCGCGGCATACATTATCCGCCCTCCCCCTTTCGACTTCGCGCGCGCATACCGCGGCGCACGACCGAGCGAGAGACGATTTTATTGGCTTTGGAAGATGGAGAAAGAAAAAAATCCCACGGATTTATTTATTATGTTGGGAGCTGCGCGCACGTGCGATTTGTATATTGCGCGCACGATCCAGTTGAATTTGTGATCGCTGAAGTTACTGGTGCTGATAAGATTCATTCTTTCGTGGTGTATCGACGGCTGACTCGTGAAAAAAACATACGTCTCCGGAGCCCGCGACTATTTTGAAAATCACTCGAATTTGTTGGCTTGAGATGCTTTGTTGTCCGACAGCGTTGCAGCGTTACCTGGAGTTGATGGATTCTGCATTGAAACCGAGTATCGTCCTCCATTTCAAGTTCGCAAAACAGTCGGTGAAAAAAATGATAATCCATTGACCACGCGGCAAAGTTTATACATTGGCAATGCATAGAACGACAAAAACCATTGACTTGTTCGGCAAATGCCTTCTCTCCGCGGCAGTCGACAGTAAAATAGCCAAGCTTGGCGGCGCAACGGGCAAACACGATTGTAACGCTTACCGCTCGGCGAGGTGTACACGATGCAACTCGCGAGGAAGCAGCAGCATGCGCTTCCTCGCGTTTTTTCCTCTGCATCCCTCTCTCTCTCTCTCTCTCGCCGGCGAACGAGGCTCTACGAATATCGTACGCTGGCGCGACTTGTATAAGTGCGTGGCCGAACCCGCACGGCCATTCATAAATACATCGCAATGTGCATGCGTGCAGCTCTTCTCAACAGTAAATCCGCAACAAGTGTCCAGCCGTACGGTGTACGCGTGCGCTAACGGCTACTATGATGGACGACGACGCGTGCCTGGTGTGTATGCATTGAGCCGGGCGCTCGTTGCGCGCCCATTGTTGCTTCGTCATTTTCGATTGATATCGCGCGACGCGGAAAGAGAAGTTGGCCAGTGGGCGATACGAGCTCGGGCGAATGATCGTGGGAAAAAAATGATCGAGTGGCGCGCGCGCGAGCACGGGACCTATAACTGTAAGACGATGGTCTGGATAATGAGAGAAACATCGTTACATTTTCGAGCCAAAGGCGCTGACCCTACAAATGGTTATTGGCGAACAAATGGATTATTTGCATGAAGGCTTTTACGGGCCGCGCAATCGTTCTGCCCTCTATAAATCTTAGGAAAGGCTTCTACCGTCGCCGATTGGCGATATATAAATTTTCTCTCGATCGCCGATACGACGGCCCACTTGGATCACAACCAAATGAATTTAGCAAACTGCATTTCCGGTACACGCCGAGTAATGAGTCTCAGATGGAATCGGGATTTCATTTTTTGTTCTTGTAGACATGAACCTTCACAAAATTTTGATTAGTCCAAAAGATAAGTTACACGGTCATTTCAATCGTTAGCTTAGCATAATAAATTTTAAAGTATAAAATCTTTGAAAGATTGACTTTAAAAGGTAAGAATACATAAGCGCGGCTGATGAGATAAATAACATAACGAATTATCCGAGAGTAAGAGAGTGGAAAGTGACAGCGAAACCATCATAAGTAATACGCTCATTTGCGTAATTATAGGGCGAGCGCGGCACACGTATATCGATCAGCTCAATTCTATTGCAGAGCATACACTACATTACGTTTAAATGAACCCATATACTTCATAAATAATTGCGTATTACATTCAACATTGTACGTGATCGATACTCTGATTGCATATATCAGTATAAATTACTGTTTAATTAAATGCCCTCCTCGTGCGCGGTTTCACGCATTACAATAAATTTTAATATGTGATCTCATTTTATCTCGAGGGCAAATACATTTGGAATTTTAAGCTGCGTCGCGGAAGTTGATATTGCGAACAGCTATTTTGGAATTCCATTGGCAGTCCTCTTAATACAAGTCAATTAAGCAATATTCAATCAATCCACTATGTACTCCGCTTTATTATTAATTTTAAATTCTAGAAAATTCTGGCCATTTACGGTCTAATAGACCGCCGATTCCGTGCCCCTCTTCTCACACGTGTATTTTCTCTTCTATGCTCCTCCAGGGAGCAGTTTTACCTGTTTTTCATGAGCGTTTAACCCGCGTGCTGCGCGCGATCGCTATAAAAATTGCCCGCTGAGAATATGAGCCGCGGGAAAAACGCGGCCGAGATCGATTGCCGCAGCAGCGGTTTTGACTTTTTTGCCGCCAGGAGAGTGGCTTCCTCTTTTAAGCGCACTGCGCCATTCGCGCGCGCGCACGCGCGTATGTCTGCGAGCGTGCAAGTGGCAAAATTATGTGTGAAATGAACTTGAATGCGGCTTGAATTTTTAAATACTATATAAGTATGATTAGCTTTTTCTTCTCACTTTACAGTTGCTAAGCGCTATATGTTTATGATTTAACGACCATGTTAACGCCACGATTCATCGAGGATTGTGGCATTGTTTTTTACTGGCTGAATTATCTCAAGTTGACGAACATAAAGCTCGTTAAAAATTATACCTTCGACAACTTATCGCGCATCAACACATTATAATGATAATGAATACAATTGAATAAACGAGTATGAAAATATTGAAGAATACTCGATTCTATGTATAAAAATAATTAATATTCAAACAAGTATTCGGCATTAATAATTAATTAATTTAAATAACATCATTGGAAAATTTTTAATAATTCATCATTTTTACTTGAAAAAGAAAACAAAAAATCATTGCAAACGAATATTAATACTTTTATCCAAAAAATTGAAAATATTGAATACTTCCTAATTGTTCTTTACTTTAATTTATAATAAAACAAGCCACTCAGAAAACTCATCCTCCCATGCCTTCTACTCAAAGAGTAAAAGGTGAACGATCATCGATGACTGGATACTCAGCAAAGCCGAGTTTCCAAGTCGTCCTCACGCTCAGGAAGGAGAGCTACATCTCCTCATCGTGGTTGCATCGACTCCTACTTTGGGTAGAAAGTCTGTGAAGATATACTACAGAAATGATCCTGTGAAGTATGATCTTAACTTTTCTCGTTTATCCACCTCGTATATGAGCACTGAACTTCATTAATTCTCTTGCAGGTGACGATCATTTGGATTCGGGCCACCTAGCGGACATTTATCCTACTACGGAGGGACAAAACAGAAAGAAATAGATAGTCGCGTACGCTGACGAAACGCGTGGAGTCGGCTCGGCTGGTACGCGTACGTTTGAGCGTTTTCCGAATTGTGTGTTCACTAGATGGAATGGTCAAAGTTTGATATTTTACTAATCTTTATTTTATTATACTTGCGTTAATGCGTTTTATTTTTCACACTTCAGTGTTGTGTTCAATGAGCGCAGTGTAATTGAGTATTATTTTTTTAATCAATTAGCAAATGTATGCTAATGAATAATTAAATAGATCGCATTCTACATATGTAAACTGCGTACTTATTTGCAATAACATGACGTTCAACAATTAATAGATACATATTTTAATATAATTGAATACATTAAAATCAAAATTTAAATAATGCATATCTGAAACAATTTTCTGCAAAATAAGATACAATCATGATACAAAACTTCTTCGAGAATCACAAAAACGACAAAGCTGTAAATAAATATTGCGTATACCTTATAGTCTTTTCTCACAAATGCTGAACAGCAAATATATATAAAAAAAAATCGAAGGAGCTGGATGAAAAGCATTTCACGCCGTAAAAGAGACGCAATTCAATCACAAGTCGGCGAATTCTCACGAACTGCTCCCGTTTCTGGGATACGGCTTTTTTTCATTTGGACGCGCGTTCAGCACACCTTGCGAAACGCGCGACTGCCGATACGTTTCAGATGCAAATGTGGACCCTGCAAACTGCTCTCGCTTCGTCAAGCTAAGACGCCGAGTAGCGTTCTCTTCATAATTTTTTTTTTTTTTTTTTTTCACAAGTGGTTTCATATTATATGGTAATGTTGGTGCGTTTGCTAATGTTATTTATTTGCCTATTTTATACAAATGCCTCGCGCTTGCACATCGAAACGGAATTCAATTTTCAATGTCTTCGATATTTTTTTCTTTTTTGTTTTTGGTGTTTACGAAAAATATATACGTACGCGCAGTTTTCTTCTTTTTCTTTTGGGAATTCCACATTACGAACTCGCGCGGGAATATCGCCGCGCCGAAAAGAAAATAGCCCGGCGGAGCATTGACGATTTCGCGGGCGTGTGAATTTAGATGTTAATCGACGAATATCGAGCTTTCTTTTCTTGCCCGCGCTCCAATTGCACGTTGCGACGTGGCGAAATCGCGGACAAGAATCAGAAAGCCATTTGCGCTTTGGCAAGCGGCAGCTGCGCATTCCTTAACCAACCGAATATAATGCGCACTCGATGGAAGCACCGAAATAGGGTAACCCCCTCGACTTGTCTTTTTTTTCTCTCTCGAAGCGTTCGTCATGCAAAATAAGTGTCGCGCGCGCATACCACGCGCATGCTTAATTAACACGTACACGCTGCGAAAAGAAAAGGAAAGAAAAAACTTCCAACCCGTTAAAGCAAAAGCAAACAAAGAAAGAATTAATCTCGCGCTCAATCGACGCTTGCATAAGTAAAAGCCTTCAAAAGATATAGCCGGCGCACGACGACGACGCGGTCTCTTTTAATTTTTGCATGCGAGGCGCGGGCGACCGGGCGACAATCGTGTAACTCAATTCTCGCGCTCGTGTACGTACTAATTGTATAAAGAGTTCGCGGCATGCCGAAGCGCCACATCGACAACATGCAAATCGTCGCATTTAATTAATACCAACTGTGGTGTCTTTGACCCTTTCTCTTGCGGCAATTTTGTTTCTTTTTCTTCTTCTTTTTTTTCGATCGGGACGTTGTGTCGTTTGATTGTCATTTTCGATGGCATTTCATTGTCGTTTTTCGTCATTTATCTAATTACATTTCAGACAATAAATATTTTACGAACTGTATTTTTTAATCTCAATTTTTACGTTGATGGAAATAAACGTGTGGACGAATAAATCTCACAATTTTACTATGATTTTGGCAAATTTATAAATTAATCAAAATGTCTTTCTGTCAAAAATCTAAAGCAATTTCACGTAATGAAACTCGTCAGCCGATCCATCGTAAATTTCAAAACCAAGCGTACACAAATAAGAAAAAAACAAGGAGCAAAACAAATCAAAAGTGCAAACGAAAACTTGTCTAAAACGACATTGAAGAAAAACCAATATAGCCGTAGGGTAATCAAGGTGCCGCAATCACATTAAGATGCCGAGCAATTCAATATATAATCTGAAGCTGAACTTGCAATGGCCACTGTCAGAGCGCGCAGTATGCTCGCGCAGTTATAAATGCAAAAAGCGAATGGGAAGAGAGAGAGAGAGAGAGAGAGAGAAAGGTTAAAAGTGTACATGCAGCGGCGCGGTGGCGATAAAAGGACGCACCCGCCCCGAACATGGAAAATAGTCGCGATAAATCGCTGAAGTCGCCTACGCCTGCGGCGCCACGAATGCATTCTTCTGTCCATGCGGCGCGGTCGCATGCGAAGAGCAGGAGGACAGGGGGGCACAGTCGCAATGTATAAATAAGGCCAAAGTTTTATTATGCCCGCGCCGGCGACGCGCGAGTGTCGTTCGAGATTTTCGATAAGCCTTTTGCTATTGGCTCGCGAGCCATGCCGATGTCACTTATTTTACTTTTTATAATTGTTATGTGCTTGTCGGGGACTCCCCTGCCGCCCGTGCTTCGTCTCTTTCTTTGATTTACGGAGTTTGCGGGCAACGAGGAAGTTACAGGTGCAGCTTTTGCGTTCGCTCGTCTGAACTGTGACGAAAACTGTTAGACGTGCAGGCCTCTGCACAATGGATGTTCTTCTTTTTCCTCGTTATACTTTTAACGTGGCAACCGCGCGGCAACGTCGTATCGTTGTTCGTCGAGCTCGGCTTACCAACAAATAAATATCAGCCTGGATTCTCAACGCGAAAAGAACGCGTGCACCGGCATAATGATAATTTCAAAAGATCAGCTCGCGCGCGTATCGCACAGCTCGGTCTCGATAAAAGTGGACGCGCGAAACTGTAGTCGGTAACTCTGTAAAGCAAACAGCCCAACGGGCCGACAGGCCGGGACTGTCAGTCTGCCGTCAGCCGTGGCAGCAGAAAAACCATCGCGACGAAACAAAGTGTACACTCGAGTCGCGCCTCTTTACATTGCGAATGCACCTGTGCGCGCGCGCGCGCGCGCGCGTAGCCGCGTCCAAGTACAAATTTGCTTCGACTCGCGCGCACTGCCGATCATAAATAAACATCGTTAGCCGCGCGCTTTTGCCCACGCCTCGGCATGTATGAGGGGGCTGCGCGCTGTTGTGCGACGCGCCGCACTGCTTAGACCGTATTCCCCGAACTCGCGCGAAGCTGCAAGGCTCATCCATCTCGAGCGCTTCCAAGCTTTCCGCGCGCGCGCATTGAATTATGTACCCGATCAGTGCCCGCGAGGATCCGACCGCGGGCAGAGGCACAAGACGAAAAAAACGAACTGCATGGGAGGAGTCCCCGCGGTCGCGCAGTTGCGCAGTTACTATACGAATTTAGTCATTTGGCGTTTTTGCGATTTAATGGTGTGCGTGGATTGGCAAAAAAGTGCATTTTCAGAGCTAATGTTTTATGGAGTGACAGTGAAAAACAAGCTTAGCCAGAAACCCTTTTATCGATTTCCAGCAATTGTTTTTTCTTTTTATCAGCTCTGGCCCATACAAAATATTCGATATAATATTAATAAAACTGAAACTACAAAATGCAATTACTTATCAATATGCTCCGTATGTGCCATCGTACTTATATTCGGATCAAATGTAACGTGCAGGAAAACTGTCGGTACTCGGCAAAGAAAGAGAGTGTGTGACTGTACTTTCGAGTCATCGTCTTTCTTACAATGCGGGGGATTCGGAGAAAAATTGTGCAAGCGCATAATAATCGCACACGCACGAATGCATTCTTGATTGAGCGAGCCACACAATCTCACTTCTAGCACTGTATTTTACGTCTAAGACCTCGCGTATTTTCAGTATCCCTCGTTTTTGTATCAACTGAAACGTTTCGCATTAATTTCCATTGACCGAAAGGGATCCGCTTCTATTCCAACTTATGAGCCCCACAACAATTGTCGTTTAATTAGGTTCCCACGTCACGGCAACATACATCCACTGGCATCGATTTTCGCCACACATCAGTTATTAGCATTCAAATAAGCTGCAGGCTATTAAATCGCACATCTGCCAATTAATCATAGAAATTCAACTGGTGGAAAGATGCGCGCAACAAAGTCGCGCGCGGCTCGCACCTGACAGTCTCAGGAGCATCGCGGGAGGTGGTGCTGTATCGCGTTATTATCGACTATAAGGATTGATGGAATATCCGCGCACGACGGAGAATATTGATGCGCCACCATCAATAACCAGATGGTTAAGGGGGGGTGGATTTTTCGAATTGAAAATTAGCCGGCAGCTGTGCGCGTGTGAGAAACGGGATAATTGGAATTGTGACTTTTCTTTTCTTTTGAGAACGCGCGAGCTCGCGCGATCGTACGTACGGCGATGATTTAGAATCGACAACGTCGCTTGTTAAATTCGCTCACACATAGTGGTGGGGAGGAGGCGCATACTGTCGGATTAATGGATGCGTTTTTCTTTACGATTATCAGTTGCGAGCTAGAGGCTAACGCGGCAATTCGAATAATATAGTACAATCAATTTGCATTTACGTTTCTGTTGCTGCGATGTGTTACATGCGGCGAGCGCATCTTGCTTAGCATAAAATATCCGAGCGTGCATCACGTGCGTGTACGATGCTGTTTTGAGAGTGATGCGATGCATCGACGCGAATGGAAAAATCACGTTGGAGCAGAGTTTTGATTTTTTTACGGGTCGCTTCTTTCGATCATTCATTGACGCACTGTGCTTATAGCTGCAGAATAATGTACTAAAAGATTGGATCTGTAATCTAAATTTGAAGGTTTCGTACGGAAGAAACATAATTTATCATCAGATACAAGGTCAGTCAGTTCGTTAGACAAGCCAGATAGAAGTCATAATTGTAATTCTATGTAAAATAAAATCTCGTTACTTTCTTTCAAGAGTTTTAGGGCCACCTGGTGTCTCGTATCGCGAAATCCGATTTACAGCTGTTAAATACCCAATCAAAGTGACTAATTTTCAAACTTGGTGCAATAATACGCATTGATTTAGCGGCTTAGTTCACGCAGCATCAACTGGCCAGCTAGCTGAAAGCAACCGAACAGAATTTGCCTTGAAAAGCCCTTAATAGACACGTGCACAAGTTAATTACTCGGTCGGTCGCGTGCGCAATTATAGATACCACTTCCGCTGGCGTGAAAAGAAGATAAGAAAGACGGGACGCAAGGCAAGGCGCTGGCTGTAGAAGAACGAAGGCGAGATATGCGCGAGCACAGGTTTTATGAAGCCGTTGCAAGTTCGCCGCAGGGGGTCTCTCCGAGTCTCGGGCGTGTCATATATACGCGCGCGCTTTTATGGAAAGCCTGCATGCGCGATGATGCCGAGATTTATTAGGATGAGCTGCTGATGTGGCTGCGTATAGTAATTTTCCAAGTACCCGATGGAAGCATATTTTTTTTTTGCTCCGGAGAGGATTGAATTGATATTAATGACTGCGTTTGAGGGTAAATGCCAATTTTCGATGTGTCCGAATGAAAGTCTTACGGCTCAAAACGGAATGAAGAAACTGTATTGAAAGTGTGAGCCAATAAACAAAATTCATTTCTAAATTTTGCGAGCCATCAAATATAACAAAAATATTGATTAAGTTGAAGCCAACAAAAGTGAAAGATCGTGAGAAGCTTTCAGCATTGATCCCGAATAGTTTCGTAATAATATAAGCGACGAAAAATATTTCACGATAAGAAGAAAACCAACAAAAGACTAACGATTTGGCATTTATCCAGGCTATAAACATTAAATAGACGTTCACGAAAAGTCTTTGGGGCACGTCGAGGCAATTAAGCCTAAAAACTATTTAGACGAGATCAAAAATTCAGCCGAGGTATCAATCAAAGAAATGACTTTGGAGGGGCATTGTTTTCTGGGTAAAATATCAAAACGAACGTCTGCACCTAGTTTGCACCGCGCCGAGGAGCCCATAACACGGAAAACGTGACCGAGAAATAAAAGCGCCAAGTCGTTTTTCCTTCACGCCGTATAGTGTACCACAAAACTTTATGTACTTTCGTAGTTGTCGTTGGCGAAGCACTGAATATTTAATGTCGTCTTTCGTTTGCGCAATTTTTTTTTTCTCTTCTCTGCAAATCTTTCGCAATTAATCGAGCTGAAACTGGTTATCGTTCTCTTTGAATGTAACGGATGTTAGGAATTCGGTGGTATGTAATTGCTCGAGCATAATTTTTACGGAATTTATGTTATATAAGGAGTGCTCGACTTTTGGCACAGGATGGGTGTAGCGTACAATTTTCTGTCATAAACATCAGCTTTCACAGCTTGGAAATTAATTTACGATCGTTGATATCGATCATAATTATAATGAAAAATTTACTGAGACGAATTGTCTGACGATTATTATTGTTATTATTATTATTATTACTATTATTTTTGCTGAGTATTTCTTGCGAAATACTTGTAATTTATCGGTGTCTCATGGGTAAATGGTATTTCAATCAATGACAGTTTTGCTCACCACGGTGACAATGGATAGGATCATGAAGCAGCTTACCTGAGAGAAAAAATAAGTGCGTTAGATACCAACGCAGGAAGAAACATTTATACATTGTCGCCAACGCTTGGCCATGCAATTTTTCATCCGATGACACGAATCAACGGTACGCATCTCGCCGCAAGAAAATCAAATGCACATACTGCCTTGGTATTGAAATTGCTGCGCACGAGCCGCGCATAAAAATCGAAAGAGCCAACCGAGCCCTGGAAAAATCAATGCGATGCTAATCAGAACGAAAGGGGAGCGAGGGCCGAGAGAGCATCTCGACAGATCACCAGGGCGCTTGCTCTTCTTCTCGAAAGCTCCACGCCTCGTTAGCGGCTCTTGGTGGCCGCGTGACCAACGAGGTGTTTTCCCTCCGCCCGGCCCGATAGAGAATCTCCTTGTTCGGTCACTTGTTTTCCGGCGATTGCATCGCTATGTAAATTTATTGTTTCGAGCCGCCGGGCACGACTTTTCCTCTTTCTCTCCCTTCCTGCCTCCTCGCGCATTTAAGCGCCTCGGATACTTTGAAGCTCGCGCGTGTGTGTGAAGATGCTGCGCAACGGAATTTCGAATCGCGCATTGTTTAGCGTGGGAGTAATTAAGCTCTGTCGGTGGATATTGAGAAATATGTGCTTACGTCTTTATTGAATATTCACGGAATGCTGATTTTTTTCCCCTGACGCTTGCAACGAGCGACAAAAAGGGAATCCCGTTTTAGTTCGAAGGCGCGCTTCAAATTATTTTATCCGAAAGACCCGAATATCGGCATATTTTGATGAATTTTTCGTCTGGTAATGGTTTCGCTCGTTGCTGGACAACTCAAATTCTGATCGTTATATAATGCGTGGTCTTGAATCACCGATACCTACGGTTTTCTGTTGTTGCGATAAATTACAGATGAACTGCCGTAATGAAAATCCAATTTGTCCATAATCGCGTAGTGGATAAGAACACCGCTGAGGGGCAGGCAAACAGTGTTTGCGATACCGCAAATAAAACAGCGACAAGTATTCTCAAAAACACTGCCGGTATCATTGAAATTTTACTTATTGTTGTCTTAGATATTTTGAATTTTTGATTGAATGAATAGATTCGGTAAATGACAAAGTTTTCTCTGCATTTGGAATATATCGAGTTAAGCCCAATTTTTCAAATAATTATTAGACAAAAAATCAAACAGCAAAAATTTCCGAATAAAGTCAGCCAAATTTATTGAGCAAGGATATACATATCAGATTCGACACTTGAAACCTTTCAAGTAATTGAATAAATAAGAAAATATTGCAAGCACGTAAACATATAATAATACGAAACAACGATCGTATCTGAAATTCTAAATTTAGTCTCTTATTAGCATACTCAAAAAGAGAACTGCTTCTCTAAATATAGACCCACTCTCCGCGCGATAATGTAAGAAAACAGGTCGTCGCCGTGAAAAGCCGATCAGAATGTCGCCTCTTGCAATCATAAAACGACGATGTGTGTGTGTGTGTGTGTGTATGCGCGCGTGTGTGTATGTGTGTGCGTGCGCGCGCGGGCCCCACACGCTGCGTTTGGATAATTACATCCCTCGGGACGATTTTCCTGGCATTAAAGCGGTGCCGGGGAATATCGGTAACTTTGACTTTTACGATCAGCCTCGCGGACGACGATGTACATTCTGTTACGCGTTGTTTTAGCGCATTGGCCGCGCGAAGAAAGGCACGTTTATCATAGTCAATTGGATTTCTTATGGCGAGTTGCTCTCATTTTACATTTTCTTCTTCCGACGAAAGATATTTCACGCCGATGAGGCTCGATTGTGCCGATAAAATTTTCTAAAAGATTACGAATGATTAAATGTAAGGTACTCCATGTATCGCTGACATTCTTTGTGCGCTGCTCACTCTCGTTCATTTTTCGCTGATTCCGTACATTATGAGGAACATTTCGCCGTTTACGCTTATGATTCTTCCGAGTTTGTTGATTTACATTAAAATTGAAATTAAAAATATATGTTGCCTATATTGGTACGAGTTATAATGTTGAAGTAACATTAATAACGTTTCGTCGTTCATTTGTTTCCAAACTGCCACTAAAAAGATTTCGATTTTGTTAGCCCGTACGCTACGTGAAATTTGTACGAAAAACATTTTAAATAGTGAAATGGATCGTTCAAAAATAAATACCGCAACGTAGAAACAAAAAAGAAAGTCGACGAATAGTTTTTTAAACCATTTCAAAACATCGATATCTCAGAATTTAAAATCAGCAACGCGCCTTGGCGATAACCCCGGCAGAGCGACGCGGCGCAATGGTAATCTATTTAAAATGTATGATACCGATTCACAAGCGCCTCATTCAGTCAGTGTCGTCTACACGGAGAGTGTGTGGACTCGATTCTCGTTTGTTGAACAATAAATACTCGCAGCAGCATAGAGAGATGAAACGCAAGGACTGGAAGACCAAAGCGATTCTCGTTGGAATTTTAATGATAACGAGTGACCTTATCGTAACTAGGGGAACTGCCAATGGATGTGCCTTGAGATGTGAGTTTTTAATCTTATGGCATCAAAATTATTTTAGACTAATATTGTTCATCTTTCATTCTCTTTTTCGTTGTCTTGCGATTGAACTAATTGGTCATTTATAATTATTACTTTAGTTTGTCCTCGATCGCACGCTTCATTTAAATAGAAGTAAAGCAAGCATTTCACTCGCTCTGCACTTGCAACTATGTAAAATCATCATTGATCAATTACGACGCTAAAATCTAATAATATCACACTTGTCCGTCGCATGTCTACGACAGATAAGCAGCACGTGGACGACAAACCCAACATCTTCGTAACGACGAACACTAATCCAGGCATCTGTCGCGTCCAACACGAGGACAATTCATCATTAAACTACCACAACGAACGCAAGTATCCCGAAGAAATCCGACCAGAATCTGTCATCGGTGGTCTCAACTACGACGCTAGAAATCACACATTGCTCTATTGGTCGAAAATCGCAAATGTAGATCACGCGAGGTTGTATAAGTTGAGACTGAATGACAGTCAATGGGAGGCTGTTTTGAGTCAAGATGATGATTTTCGCGACATGTCATATGATTGGGTGTCGAAGAATTTGTACATAATTATGGGCTCGAGAAGTATGATGGTAGCTGTTAATGTGGAACACTCATGGAACCCAACGGTCATCTTGTATGACAGATCGCAGATGACGAGTTTGGCAGTTCATCCGAACAAAGGTTACTTGTTCTTCGTCGAGACGAATTATTGGTATGGCGTGCAGCATAAAATCTATCGAGCTCACCTCGACGGTTCTAATGTATCGGAATTGTTCAATCGTACTGGTACTGATGTAAGGTACTACGTGGCAAGCATTGTTGTGGATTTTTACAGCGACAGGATTTACTGGAGCGTGCCTGCTACGGATAAAATTCAATCGGCAAGTCTGGACGGTCGCGATGTGCAAACCATCAGTGGGGTAAAAGTTTACTCTGGACAGTTGGATTTGTCTTCTCGTACACTCGCTGTTGACAAACATTACGTGTATTACAGGAGTGCGGAAGCCAACACTGTGCGGAGAATAGAGAAGACGAGCGAGACGAAAGATCCTGATTACGAATTGATTAACGAGGAGACAGCACCGATCACTGAAATTCTCGCGTTCACGTACAAATCACAAAAAGTACGCAAGGACCATCCGTGTAAGGATGGCACAGCTGGCTGTGAGAAGTATTGTGTCGCTGTGCCGTTGAACAATTCGTTGAAGAGAATATGCAAGTGTGGTTTTAATGAGGTGTTGGCCGACGATAATGTCACGTGCGAGAGGACTAGACATAGTGTGGGATCGGCGTAAATGTGTGAAGGGCAAGTGTTGTACGTTTAAGCTCTAGATATCAAAATTTTATCTGTTATAGTTTGTAAGAGTTGTGTATGATTTCCTCGTTTAGTCGTTATCGCATTGTAAGTTAATAATCAGTGGTCTTGCTGTTTCTCGAATATAAAACACTGTCTGAATATCGAAGATATTGATTGAATTGAATTTATACTTTTTTTTAACTATAAGAGTATATTTTTACATAATTCACAAAATGGAAATAACGATGTAGAAGTTTGATTATTTTGAATTATAATAATTTCAGCACGAATCAAAACTAGTAGTAACAGGAGTATTTATAAATAAGACGTTGTAAGATAATAGCGAGAACCAGTATGCATCTACGTGAGAGGTACTTCCTACTACGTACAATCGTTGATCGATAACGTACCGAATGATTAGCGCAACATTTATTTACTGATCGTAACCTTGAACGTGAAAATGTAAACAGCTTTCGCCGTGAGCTCAAAATCCCGCGTAAAAACGTGTGCACTGACAGCCCCTCGAGCTACCGACAAAATTTCTCTTTCGATTTTTCGCTCAACGTAACAAAGCGAAGTCAAAGATATTAGGGTCATTCGATGTAGTGTATACATTTAACGGGCGGAGGCACATGCGCAGGGTGTGCCGGATGTTGCGCAGCCGTATAGTCGGGGGCGTCGACACCCACCCAACGCGCGCTCGGGACAATGAAAACTATACGCAGAAATAAAGAAAAAAATGAAAGTAAGGAGATCGCCGAGCCCGCCACCGCGGATGCGACTGCGATTTTCTGCGTATTCCATTGTTAAGAGTATGCGATTGGGAGTGTCGCGTGCAATCGCATGTTTAACAGATTTTGGCCGGGTTACTATAAAGTCGTACCTTTGCGTTTCCATGGAAGGTATTATGTGATACATCGGTTTGTGGTGTAATTTCTAATTATACCATTTGTATTTGTCTCTCAGCGTTGTGTGCACATATTGAATTTTTGCAATGACCTTGTGTAACGATTCTCAGCTATACTTGCCGTGTAAATTCCAAAAGGATCTTTCTAAATGACTTTAATACGGCAGGTATAACGAGTTGACGAACACCATTGAAGTTTTTGATAACGACGATTTTATTTCGGATTTCATGATTAAATTGAAAGAAATTTCACCACGAGGACAGATTTCTTTTGCACGCGTAAATGATACGGAAAAGTTAATCGTAAATAAGAAATATCAGTATGGCTTGAACGAAAGTCAATGAGAACACTGCAAATGCACCTCGAAAGTAATCTGTTGTATGCAGAGCCTAGTGACTGATTCTCATCGCGAGATTCAGTGACGACTGCACGTGGGCGGTTCGCATGATATAAATCCGATCAGCGAGTAAATGAAAAATTATACAATTTAAATATTTTACTAGTTTCATTAAGACAATATCTTGAAGTGAAAACAGCTTCGGTTTTATGAATTGCTGAACTTACTGAAATGTTGTAAAATACGTGGCTGTAAAGTCTTAATATTTCAAAATCTCCTTTATAAATATAGAAAAATGCATATCACGCACATGGGATTGTTAAGAAATAGGCAAACGCGTAACGAAGTAGCGAAGTCTCCTCACCGAAAACAAAAATTGTATTGTAATTGCCGCCTTCCTCCTCTCGATATAAAAGCTCGTCGAGCTTTGCCGTGAAATCGGCGTAAATCACGACAATGTCGAATAGAATATAAAGTGTTTTGGCGCGCTGGTGCACAGACAGCAAACGCCAGACAGTGCTTTTGCCAGAGCAGCAGCGCGTTGCGCAACGAGGCGATGCATGTATGCGCGATTTATGTACAAATGCATATATACACGCGTCCGCGGTCAGAGAGACAGTTACGCGACTTTCCTCTTTTTCGCCGTGAATCCATGTAACTTTTCTGGTTTCATCGTTTTCCACGAAAATCTCACCCTCGCCAAAAAGGACGTTTAATTGGCCTCGTGTCGCCGAGTCGAATGTACACCCACGTTTTCCGTTATTTGTTTCGTCGAGATACAACGCACGGATTTTCTCCAGTGAATTTCGTGCTGCAGATGCAAGAGATCTAACCGACTACAATTAACCAAAGCGATTTATTCTATATACGTTTCATAATAACATCGTAGGCACAGAAGCTAAAATAATTAGTTGCCCGTAGTGAGTTTCGTTTTGCAATTTTTATGTAGCGTTACGCAAAATCAGAACTGCTAATTATTGTGTGCCAATTTTCCGACACAAAAAAAGCACACAATTTACGACACCCTGAAAGCTCCTTTTTAATCTCTCGTCTGTCAAATATCAAAAGATCGCACACATAAGAGAAAAAACGGAGAGTAGAGACGTGCTCCATTACCGAGAGTATCTTACGTAAGTTCAAGCCACACGCGCACGAATTCACCATCGATTTGTAAAATATAGATCGACGATTTTTTTACTATGTTCGCAAGTAACAGATGGAACACTGTTCCGAAGCGTGTATTATGTTTCTCATAACACAGCGCGTACGTAAATCACCAGTAAATCGCTGAAACTGGCACGCGGGCGAGTATCGAAGTTATCACGTCTCGCCATTGACGCAAGTGTAATTTTAGCGGCAACGGAACGCGAGCGGCGAATCCAATTTTTTACAACGCGCTCGACGTCTTCGCGTATGAGTTTCTTGTAATCTTACGAGAGAGAGAGAGAGAGAGAGAGAATGAGTGAGAGGATACTTGCATTTATTAATATTGTGCTTATCGCTATTCCAATGTCAGTTTACACGTGTATTCGAAGATAACGCCCTATCGTTTGATTGAACCAGCCTCCAAACGCGCGGACGCGGAATAATCGAACGCCGTTCCGCCGATAAAAAAAATGATATCCGCGTCGTCGAAATATTCGTATCGTGTTTGGGGTCCAAGCTCCGTTTTGCCTCTCCCGCACAAACATGACGTCAAAGACGAACGTGAGATTAAAAAAAAAAAAAAAAAGAATAAAAAAGAGAAAAGAAAAAATTAATCATCTTATCGCGACTCTGGCTCTCCTCCTCGCCGTCTGGCTGGCGCTCAAGCAATAACAAGCTTGATAAAGTTGGAATTCCCGCGAGGCAGCAGCAGCAGCAGCAGCAGCAGCGTGAGAGTTATCGTTCAATTTCGTGTAAATTTATATAGAGAGATGCGCGGAGGAACCAGCGCAAAAAGGTGAGTGATGTTGTAGGTTAATCGCTTGCGAAGTTTGCCGGAACGAAGGGGGATAATGTAATTGAAAAAGACCGAGATTGCTTGGCTTGCGATTAATGCGTCGTCGGGTGTATCTTGATCTAGCGTAAATAAAATTGATAGGCGAAGATGTCCAATTGTGCGAGTCCGCGGAGAAATTGCGCTTAACGGGGCTATCGTCGAGAAACTACAAACGGATTAACTTTTGGCGCAGAGGCGCTCGCGCGAGGAACGCAATTTTCGAGAGTAGAGGCGGGAAGGTAAATGCACGCGAACTCCAGCAGCAGCTAGCGAACGTTTAAATAATTATTACTGCCAGTCAAGTTCATCCTATAGAAAGCCAAGGGTCAACAAGAGGTTGCAGACCATAGAAGGATAAGATAAAAAATAACGCGGCTATTATTGGTAACCGATTCTCAATTATCATGATGGGGCTGAAGAATTCGTTTTAGTGGCCGCTGATGGGAGACGAGACCGTCTTGTGTGTGCGCGTGCGCTGGATTTTCATAAATCGGAAGGTGGCACACAGGTTTGTGGCTTTCGAACGAATAGCCGATTCGAACATGCGGTCCAATCGATTATTCGGTACTTGCTGTCGATTCGTGAAATATCGATCGATTTTATTGCGGTATAAAGATTAATGATGTTTCGTACAAGAATCGATTATATTATATTTTGATACTTTACATTGATTTTTATTAGCCTGCTTTTTTTCTTAAATTTATGTTGTTGTACTTATATTGCACGTTTTCCAGCAATAGATCCTTTTCTTATTACTTTTTTTTTATTGAACATTCAGATAATTTCTAATTTTAATTCAATTTTTAAGAATCAGTGAATGAACAAAACTGTATAAAAAATTATTTAGCCAAAAAAATATTAAAAATAACGCTAAGCGTTTATCGTGTCAATAAATAACAATTATGAATACTCAACTTATGCGAAAAACTATATTTAACTTTCAAAGCAAAAGTCTAAGAAAAGAGAAGAAAAAATAATACGATCCATATAATCATTGCAATTCACGACTTTAAATCAACGATACACACAGGCGCGCGCGCGCACGTGCTTAATGTCGGCTCGTTCATCACAGCTTAAAACGCAAAATTTTTATCTGCGATACGTCCGATTCACTTCTTCCGCGACGCGCGCGAACATAATGCATCACAAGCGTTATACGTGCCGCGCGCGCACGCGTCTTATTACGTGATATGCCGCCGCGAATCGAAGCACACCATTAGGATCTGCATAAACGCGAGCGCGGAAGAGCCGCACGTTTTCGACGCTAAGCACGTGCTGCCGTGAACATCTCTTTTTTTTTCTTTACGTCGGCTATACGTACGAAAGTTATGGCTTTTACGTTAGAGTTACGACGATTATGCCGTTAATGCTTTCCTATTGTTCATTAAAAAATTTGAGTTTTCGTTAAAATTATTGTGGATTCGTAAGGCACGAGGGCAAAAGCGATTATTAGTAATTTCACATTTATATTTATTTATAATTTGTTAGTGAGATGAGATGGTAAATTGACAACGAATATCAGACTCTCAACTTAAGGTTTTATTTGTCGATATGTTAACATTACATTTTAATAAAAACTCAACTCTTTAATAATCCAGACATCATGTTAATTTTCTTTGGATGTTTCCAACTGTGTACGTCTACCGCGAAGAAATCCCAAAAGAAGTTCGCGAGAGAATTATCAGAACACCTTTTGCTCGTCAAGGTCAATAGAAAAGATGAAAATTGATCGAAACCGTTGGAATAACAAATCATTCAAAACTTGACTCCCATCTGAGCATTCGCTTAGACTCCGAGTGCACGTGTGGTATCAAAGGTTCGTTCATTCTCACGCTGAATCGGTAACATGACACCTGGCGGATATGCCGATTTTTGCGCATCTCCTGCCATACGCCTAATGCCTTTAAAATGAACGTCGAAAGTAATTACAAGCCGAGAGTGAGAGAGCGAGCGAGGATTTTTTTTTCTTTTCTTCCTCTCTGATTGAGCCTCCATTCGGCCGGATTACGAAGACGAA